CATGGTTTTGTTTTTCTCAGGCATCTAGGTAGCACCACAGTGGATACAGGTCCTGGCATCAGGAAGACCTAAGTTCAAAGCTCAGACACTTACTAGCTGTGTGACCCTGGGCAAGTCATTTAACCTTTGCCACAAGTATCTCATCTGTGAAATGGGGTAATAATAGCACCTACTTTCCAGGGTTGTTGTGGGGATATAAGGGTCTGTGCTTAGCAGGTCAGTACCCAGCACATAGTAGAAACTTAATAAATGCTTGTTTTCTTCCTTCTTTCCTCTTTTCCCTCCCTTTCTTCTTTCCTTCCTCCCTTCCTTCCTTTCCCTTCCTTTCTTCCTTCCTTGCTCTGGAAGGGACTTCAGAAATATTTTTATTCAAACTCCTCATCTTACAGATAAGGAAACTGAGGCCCAGGAAGATGAAGCAACTTCTTCCAGGTCACCCAGCTAAGAAGTATCTGAGGTATCCAAAGCCAGTATTCTTTCTGCTGCACCCTGTTGTACCCCATTAGTCTAAAACAGAGCAAGATTTAGTGCTGTTAGAACCTTAGTGTTCATTAGCCTGCTCCCCACTCCCACCCCAGGGTGTTTTACAGATGAGGGAACTGAGGCCCAGAGAGGTGAGGTGACTTACCCCCAAATCATAAGATCCTTAGCTCATAGATTAAATCTGTAAGGGAGCTTAGGCTCATCCAATGTAAACTCCTTATTTTACAGAGGAGAGAAATTGAGGCCCATGGAGGTTAAATGACTTATACAAGGTCACACAGGTAGAAATGGCATCTAGGCTCAGACTTCTCTGCTTGTCTGTCATAAAGCATTTTGATGTACATCTGCATAAAAACAAAAAACCCAAAGTATTTTATCCCCAACCAATTTATTCCATGACTCTGAGTATGAATGAGAATCTTATCATGATGTCTTTGCAGTATGGTACAAATCAGCATCTTTCCTATTACTGCGTCCTTTCAACTTAAATTCAGGCGAGACAAGCTGCTCTCTATGCACCCAGCATGGCGCTTCATCAGATGGCTCCATCTGAAAAGGCCCCGCAAGTAATCACATCTCCTGTTATAGCAATTCACACATGTAGAACCTACGCCTGGGCTGCAACACATGTATTTCCCAAGAGGCTTTTGGAGGCATTTGAAAATAAGTGGGAATGCTTTTTTTCTTGTAGAATTAAAAAAGAGATTGGGACGATTCTGCCTGATTCTGACATGCATTAGGAAGAAGAAACATCTTGCACCTGAGAAATCAAAGCTATAATCTTGGTTACTTAGAAAAAATAAAATACAATTTTCTTTCACCAAATGAGAGCCAAACCTTCAAGTGATCTGGAAAATAGGGTGTGGATGCTTAACATTGTTCAGGTAATTTTAGGTCAAAAGAATATCATTTCAAGTTAACTTTTCACATATTTCTAAGAATCAGGGTTAAATTCATTCTTCAGATGTTGGGGTGCTGGTATTACTGCTTCTAAGGACATTCCTAAATTAGATGCTAGGTCCAGGCAATGGCTCCTGCCTATGTCTAAGTCCCTGGATAACTTATTTATCTCTGCTTTGTAGTGGAAAGAATACTGGACTAGGAGTCAGGAAGACCTGGACTGATACACCACCTCAGAAGCTTACTAGCTATGTGATCATGGGCATATAATTTCTCTGATCCTCAGTTTCCTCATCTGTAAAATGAAAAAAATAATACCTATAGTACTGACCTCATAGTCTTTTATAATGAATTAAATGAAATTTTATATATATATATCATATATAAAGAATTTTACAAATTGTAAAAAAAATTCCTATTATTATTACAACTATATTATTATTGTGGCTAGATGGTACAATGGACAGAGAGCCAGGCCAGCAGTCAGGAGGACTCATCTTCTCGGCTCAAATCTGGTGTGTCAGATACTTAGGAACTGTGTGACCTTGGGTAGTCACTGACTCTGTTTGCCTTAGTTTCTTCATCTATAAAACGAGTTGGACAGACTGAAGCATGCTATTTTTCTCTTCCTTCCTTCCTTCCTTCCTTCCTCCCTCCCTCCCTCCCTCCCTCCTTCCTTCTTTCTTCCTTCCTTCCTTTTTGAATCTTTTTGCAAAAAATGACTACTATGGAAATGTTTTACATGATTGCATATGTATAACCTATATCAGATTACTTACTGTTTCAGGAAGGGGGGAAAGGAGGGAGGGAGAGACAATTTAGAACTCAAAACTTAAAAAAATCCCAATGAATGTTAAAAATTATTTTTACATGTAACTGGGGAAAAATAAAATGAGTTGGAGAAGGAACTGGCAAACCACTTCAGTATCATTGTGGAGAAAAACCCAAATGAGGACATGAAGAGTCGTACATGATTGAAATGAATTAACATTATTATTTTTTAACTTTATTAATTTATTTCACTTTATCAACATTCACTTCCATAAGCTTTTGAGTTTTAAATTTTTCTCCACCTCTGTCCCCATATCCCTCGCCAAGATGTCAAGCAATCTGATATAGGCTATACGTATACATTCCTATTAAACATATTTTCACATTAGTGATGTTGTAAGGAAGAATGAGAACAACAGGAGGAACCACTAGAAAGAGGAAACAAAACACAACAGAAGAAAAAAAATAGCAAATAGTATGCTTTGATCTGCATTCAAACTCCATAGCTCTTTCTTTGGATGTGGATAGCATTTTCCATCATCGTTATTATTAATTATCACTGAATCTAATTTCAATGGGGAAGTCAAACCAGTCGAATTTATTTTGAAATGTTAAATCCTTTTTATTTATGCCTTTTGGTTTTATACCACATTTTCATTTCCTGATTTATGTCTCCTCTCATATAATAATGGCTGGAATATGTATAGTACTTTAAGGTTTGCAAAGTGTTTTCCATGTATTATTTCATTTGATCCTCACTACAACTTAGGGAGGTAGGTGCTATTTAATGCTTCTTTTACAGATGAATAAACCGAGGCTGAGAGAGGTTTATTGCCTTGCCCAGGCTCATACAAATTCTAAGTGAGACAGGATCTTAGTTCAGCCGTCTGTGGCTCCAAGTCCAGGACTCTATTTCTCTGCTACATAGTTCCCCATCCAGTGAGCTATCCTTTGTCAAAGACTTTTAAAAAAAACAAAAAATGACGTTAGCAAAACTAACTGATGCATCAACTCTTTGACGGTATATAAAACATCTCTACCCATAGTTCTCCACCTTTGCAAAGAAAGGAGGTAGGTATATTTTCTCAACTCTTTCTTGGGTCCAAGCTTGGTGTTCATAATTACACAGCATTCTGTTTCGTTATTTTTATATTTTCCATTTATATTGTCGTAATCACAAGAAGATATAATTAAAAAGGGAAGTAGCGTCCTATTCTAAACCAACTTACAAAGCTGCTTTTCTCAGTGTAGTTTCTGCAAAGGCCAGTGACAAGGATAAAAATCTTCAGTAAGACAGTAATAGCTTTCCCAAATCCTTTTTCACCTCGTACTTTGCTAAAATAAGAAAGATCATTCCCACGGGTGAAGCTTTTTTGGGGGTGACATTGACTTCCCCCTCACCCCCCATTCATAGGATGTTGGATTTAGAGCTGGTCCAGAGCAGAGGGAGGAGTTCCTTGGTTCAAAGGGGCTGGGTGCAGTGCCCCAGCTCCTAATTAGTGGTTCCTATGGTTGGATGAGTATCAGACAGAGGACAATGCAGAGGCTTGGAACCCTGAGTATGGACAGAGGGCAATGCAGAGGCTTGGAACCCTGAGTATCGGACAGAGGGCAATGCAGAGGCTTGGAACCCTGAGTATCGGACAGAGGGCAATGCAGAGGCTTGGAACCCTGGGTATGGACAGAGGGCAATGCAGAGGCTTGGAACCCTGACTATCCGACAGAGGGCAAAGCAGAGGCTTGGAACCCGTGCGTGCAGGCTGCGACATGGAACCGAGGAGGAACTACCGGAGAACAGGACCAAGGGATGTCATCGGGAAGGATGACAGGCATGGATCTCGGAAGCCACGTAGTGCAACCTTGTGTTTCGTACAGCTGAGGAAGCCGGCCTCCAGGGAAGCTGCCCAAGGTTGCGCAGGTAGTGAGTGCCTGCGGGTGGGCAGGGGTTTGAACCCACTAAGGTAATAGTAAGGATCGCTACCATATGCCTACTTTGGACCAAGCCCATCACTATCTCATTTGATCCTCACAACAAGCCTGGGAGGTATCATTATCCCTATTTTACAGATGAGGAAACTGAGGCAAACAGAGTTGGGGCAGATAGGTGGTGAGGTGGATAGAGGTGAGGGCCTGAGTCAGGAAGACCTGAGTTCAAATGCAGCCTCTGACACTGACTAGTTGTGTGCGAGCCTGGGCAAGTCACTTAACTCTGTTTGCCTCAGTTTCCTCATCTGTAAAATGAGCTGGAGAAGGAAATGACAAACCACTCCAGTGTCTCTGCCAGGAAAACCCCAAATGGGGTCACGGAGAGTCGGACACAACAGAAAGGAGACTGCAATGTTAGGAATGAAGAAAAGGCTCGGGTGCTTTGCACGGCCACGCCCACCCGTCTGACCACGCCTCCGGCCACACCCCCTTCGGCAGCCCGCCCTCATCCCCGCCCCAAACCACGCATGCGTCGGAGTAGGGCTGCGCTTTGGGGGCTGGGGTGAGGCTCAAAGCTCGAGTCATTCTCGGGTGGGCCGCCGTCTCCACAGCAAAAAGGAAGTCCATTTCCTTCTCAACATGGCGTCACGACTCCGCCACTCGCTGTCCGCGGGGGGGGGAGGGGTGACGGGGGGCGGGACGACGGGAGAGAGGCCTACCCAAATCTCGCGACACCTGTCATGCTCACTCCGCCCCTCGACCCTTTCTGGGCCTCCCTCTTAGGCCGCCTCCGCTCGCACGTGAAGTTGTTGTGGCAGTGACGTCAGACGGCCCGGAAGTATTCCTTACCGGCCGGAGAGGTCGCCAAGATGGCGGCACCCAGGTAGCCGGTGCGAGGCGTGGTGCCGCCGTGAACTTAGGCTCTCACTCGCTCCGGTCCGCTGAGGCGGCTTCGGGCTGAGGCCATGGCCCCAGGCGCCTCCCCCGCGGACCAGCCGGGCTTCGGCGTGGCCCTCCTGGTGAGTACAGCCCCGCAGCCTTTCCCGCTTCCCGCCCCGGCCTCCAGCTTCCGCCCCGTACCGCCCCTCCCCCTCCGACCTTCCCCCTGGACAGCCCCCCCCCCCCCCCCCCCCCACACCCCCCAGAGCTCCTACAGCTAGAGTTGCAAGTGAACTCACCAGCCAGACTTCCCATTTTACAGGTGGGGAAACCGAGGCACGGAGAGGACAAACTGACTTGCCCACGATCACGTGGGTAAGTAGGTTCATAGAATTTAGAGGCGCAAGGGATCTTCAATCCATCCAGCCCAACTCCATCCTTTACGTGATTTAAACAGTGCTGTTGAGTCATTTTCTTCAATCATGTCCTACTGTCCCTAACCCCATTTGGGGCGTTCTTGGCAGAGGTACTGGAGCGGTTTGCCATTTCCTTTTTTAGCTCATTTTACAGATAAGGAAACTGAGGCATAAAGGGGGAAGTGATTTGCCCAAGGTCACACAGCTAGTAAGCGTCTGAGACTAGATTCGAACTCGAGCCTTCCTGACTCTTGGCCCTGAAGTCTATCCACTGCACTACCTAAAATAAAGGTCATCTAGTTCAATAAATACCCTTCTTGTATAAATGAGGAAATTGAGATGCAAGGAGGAGGTGACTTGTTCAAGGCCATTCAGGGAATAAGGATCCAGGCCCTTTAACTATAGACACAAAACTTTTTTCCCACGGTGATTATAAGTTAGAAAGTGAGAACTTCCTGGCTGTTGTCTCCCTGTTCCATGGTCTTTATGAGTCCCCTACAGTGTCTCGGGTGTGGAGGCTTTGAGGCTCCGCATCCTTTCTATCAGGACAGAGCTGGTTCCAAAGATTCTGCTGTCACTTGCTTCTCACAGCTATACCAAAGAACGCCTATCCAAGAAGGGGCTGCTTCTCAGCCCTCACCTAAAGCAGCTGGCTGAGTCCTGCTCACATCTCTTTTTCATGCTGGCTTCTTCAGGACCTTGCCACACAGCTTGGCTGCTCACTGGTGGGAAAGGGCCTCTGTTTTCCTTACGTCTTGTAAAAACCAAATTCTTCTGGAGGGCAGAGCCAAACGTAGGAAAGCACCTTTCTAGCAAATTATAAGAGAGTATTTCTGCCTAGGAAGGGCTGGGTGAGGACAGGGTGATGCCACAATGGGCCCTCAGGCAGCAGGAGAAATAGAGAAAGCATCACGTGTCATAGGGAATTGCCCTTCAGAGATGTTTTTCTGTGTTCCTCTGCCTCAATTTTTCATTTTCTGTGGCTGGCTGGTTTGCAGGATGCCATCACGGTGTTCTTATCTGGAATAGTCATGGAGATGTGATACCTCTGTTCCTGTGTTCTGATCAATTGTGCGTGTGAGTTTCCAGCAGTTAGATGATGGTGATGGTGATGGTGGTGATGAAAACAGCTTGCATTTCGGACACATTCCATTGTGTACAGGATGCTTTTTTCACAGTGTAATCAGGCCCAGGGGTGAGAAAAGGGGAAAACTTCACTGTGTACCATAGTCTATCTCTTCATTCGTATATGAACGCTTATTGTTAATTACCTGTGTCCAGAATACTGTGCCAGGTAGAGAAGATGCAGTCTTTGCTGCCGTGGAGATTACAGTTTGTTAGGGGGGTGAGACCCAGGTACTATGGACTGTACGGTACTAGGCTGCAATATACAACACCATGAGAAATGCATTACAGAAGGGAGGCAGGAAGTGGTGTTTTCCTGCTCGGTATGCTTCTGTCATTCTTTCCTACCTCTTGGATCACATAGGAATGCCTTTGTTTCTCATTTAAAGCCCTTCACACCCTGGCTCCAATCTGCCTTTCAAGGCTTGTTATGTATGATTTCTTGTCATGCATTTTGTGGTCCAGCCAAATTGGCCATCCAGATGTTGCTCAATACGTGACATTCCGTCTACCACCTCCTTACCTGGGCACAGGCTGTCTTCCATACTAGGAATGAACTCAGCTTGAGGCAGGTGCTGAGGTGGGCCTGGAATAAGAAAGACCTGCATTCAACTCTGAACACAGGCACTTACTAGCTGTGCAACCCTGGGCAAGTCACTTAACCTCTGCTTGCCTCAGTTTCCTCATTTGAAAAATGGGGATAATAGCATCTATCTTCCATTTTTTTCTTGTCGGGATCAAATAAAATAATATTTGTAAAGTGCTTAGAACAGTGCTGACACATAGTAGGCACTCAATAAATGCTTCTTTCCTTTTTCCCTCCCTCCTTTTCCTCTCTTCTTCCCTCCCTCCCTTCCTCCTTTTCTTGTGTCTTCCCTCCTTCCTTTCCTCCTTCCTTTCCCCCTTCTTCCTTTCCCCCTCCTTCCGTCCTTCCTCTCTTCCTCCCTTCCTCCACATCACAGAAACCCTCACTTCCTAGAAGATGAAACTCAAGCCTCTTAGAAGCCTTTGTTTCTTTTGTTTTCCTTGATTCCTTCCAGGTGCTTGAACTTTTCCCCTAAAACTACCATCTCTTCTGCATGTACTTACATGTGTGCACATTTTTCTTCTCTGATGACGTTCAAGCTCCTTAATAATGGGGATGGTTTCATTTTGGCCTTTGTCTTCACAGGCCTGGCACATAGTTGATCGATAAATGCATTTTATTTGGTTAAATATTTACCCAGAGAGCACAATGTGAGGGAGGACTGAGGAGGAAGGTTCCGGATTTCCTCTAGGAGGTGGCAGTGGGAATTAAAGAGTGGAGAGGGGCAGCAGGGTGGAGAGAGGGAAGGAAGGCCCAGGATCCAGAGAGCATTGGCTGTGTTAGGGAAACAGAGAGAAGTGGTTTGGTTGGGGGGAAGTAATATGAGATGAGGCTGCATTGGTGGGATGGTGCCACAATCAAGGGCCCTGAATGCCAAGCAAAGTAATTTGAACTTTGCTCAGTAGACAATAGTTTGAGGCCGAGTAGTGACGTGACTCGTCTATGCATAAGAAAGATTGTGGAGGAAGGACAGAGTGTCAGGAAGACAAGTGAGAATGCCATAGTAACAAAACTGGGTGGTAAAGAGAGCTGGCCTGAGGTGGTAGCCCTGGGGGAAAGGACAAAGGAATAGACAGCAGAGGCCAACAAGCCTTGTTGGCCTAGAGTGTAAGATGGGTGAGTTCAAGGGAAGAGCCAAAGACCATGACCCTGAAGGCTAGCGACTGGGGCAGAGTGAAGTCAGAAGCGGAGCTGATGCAGGGGAGACTGAGCTCGCTCTTCCGTCTTCATTCCGTGCCTCTCTCTATGCAAGGCCTGTCCTGATCCACCTAGATTTTAGCACTTCTCATCCACCTCCACTGCCCCCATAACTTTATTTACTTTTTATATTCTCATTTTACTTTTATGAAAGGGAAGGGAAAGGGAAAGGGATAAATATTTATTAAGCACCTACTATGTACCAGGTATTTGGCATTCGATCTTTGCAGTAACCCAAGGAGGTACTTACTATAGTTATCCCCAGTTAAGGAAACTGAGGCAAACAGAAATTAAGTGACATGTCCAGACAGGCTAGTAAGTGTCTGGGCCGGATCTAAACTTCAGTCTTTCTGACTCCAGATCCAGTACTCCCCTGCCCTGTGGAATATAAGCACTTTCAGAGGAGGACCTATTTTCATCTCTTTGTATCTACAGCACCTACTGTAGTGCCTAGCACATAGTAGGTACTTAATAAATTTTTGTTGGATTAGATTATTTCAGTTTGACTCACTGATCAGTGTGTTATGTCTTAAAATTTCCAGCTGTCACATGTAGTGAAAAAACATAGTGTGATAATTTGTTCTTTTCCCTGACATCTGAATTTCAATTTTTTTTTCACTTATTCAGAACCATTTATTAAGTACCTATTATATTCAAAACACCTAACCAGGTACTGGAACATATACAAAGGATAAATAAGACATGCTCCTGGACTATGCAATTTATAACCTACTCAAATTAGGAATACAGTCCCATTATGTATCACTATTCTCTTCATTTGATCATGGTTAAGCTAATTAATGATGTGTCAGAAAGAGCATCAGACCAGGAATCAAGTCAGGTAAAATCAAGACCTAACTCTGCCACTAACTAGCTATGTGACCTTGGGCAAGTAACCTTACCTCCTTGTTTTCTTATCTATAAATGAGTGGATTTGACTACATCACATGATTGATATCCAAGTTTCCTTCCAACTTTAACAATCTAAGACCTATCTATTGAATGAATGGTTTTTCTTGTTTGTCTTGGACATTTGACTTTTTTTACTAACTAGCATGCATAAATCCTTTCTAAATCTGGTGGGGGTTTTTTTGCTGACTTAATTTTTAAAAAATTTTTAATTTATTTATTTTTGGTTTTCAACATTCATTTCCATAAGCTTTTGAGTTTTAAATTTTTCTCCACCTCCCTCCCCAAGACAGCGTGCAATCTGATATATTCTATATATATATTCTTATTAAACATATTTTCACATTAGTGATGTTGTAAGGAAGAATTAGAACCAATAGGAGGAACCACCAGAAAGAGTAAACAAAACACAACAGAAGAAAAAGAAGTAGCAAATAGTATGCTTCGATCTGCATTCAAACTCCATAGTTCTTTCTTTGGATGTGGATAGTGTTTTCCATCATGAGACTTTTGGAGATGTCTTAGATCCTGAGAAGAGCTAAGTCTATCAACATTAGTCATCACGCAATGTGGCTGTTACTGTGTACAACGTTCTCCTGGTTCTGCTCACTTCACTCAGCATCAGACCATACCAGTCTTTCCAGGTTTTTCTGAAGTCTGCCTGCTCATCATTTCTTATAGCACAATAGTATTCCATTACATTCATATACCACAACTTGTTCAGTCATTCCCCAGTTGATGGGCATCCTCTCAGTTTCCAATTCTTTACCACCACAAAAAGATGTGCTATAAATATTTTTGTACATGTGGGTTCTTTTCTCATTTGTACGATCTTTTTGGGATACAGCCCTGGAAGTAATTGCTGGGTCAAAGGGTAAGCACATTTTTATAACCCTTTGGGCACAAT